GTAATAACGGTTCTACGCCTAAGAAAATAATCTATGGTGAATTAGCAAACCAGAATTTCTGCTAAGCAACTAGTACTGACGAAAATAGTGATGATGTCGTTTTCGTAAGTTTCCCGTATGGCACCTACTCTAACGTGAAGCTGTTCGCTAATGGTCAATTAGCAAAAGGGAGGCCAGATAGACCGAAAAATGATTCAATATCACCGAAAAGAGCATTCACTACGCCACTGCGTATCCGCGAAAACATCGACGTTTTGGGTGGTCGTATTTTGGCGAAAATGTTGTCAAACTCTTATAAGTTCCTTCAATGTCATTATCTGCAGTGTCTCTTCACTACTGTTTCAATCTATCATTGCGGACGAGTTTTCCACTTACATGCGTGGCCGAGTAATCAGGGTATCAAATAGCGGTCGAGCTTTTCGTGTTGAACAACGTCCAAGTGGGAGTATGTCCGAAGTGGAGAACTGGAATAGTGGTTTTTTGCAGACAAACACTCACTCACATTTGAGGACATAATTTCCTTTCCATTCGATGTTTACCTCAATTTTCGATCGATTACCTATGTGTTGTTTGTGTTCTATTCATCAACGATGACAATCCCGACACGTGTTTTCAATACTCATGTTTATTGAACGGGTCTTTTTCACTTCTCTTTGGTGCTTTTTATTAAATACTCTTTATCTAACTTGATTGTGATGCAAATGTAATGAGTTGTAGTATGAGGTAGTAATTCTATTTCGGTTGAAACATTCTGCTTACTAATGTTAACAGACTAACATGATAATATCCCTCCGTTAATACACTTTTTTCTTTGGGCTTACAAAACCTTTCACAATTCATAGCGTAATGGCTCCAAAAATTATTCCACGCTATTTCTTTTTTCTTGCTCTAGCAACTTTTCCAATACTTCGTATCCTAAATTGTATATAATGGCATGAAATACATTACACCTCTTGCGTATTTTGATTTTAGACCGCGTAGGCTAAAAAAATTGGAATAATCTTAAACCCCTATGGGATTTATCATTGGAGCTACTCATATTTAAAGGCGTATAACCTTCTGGTGATCTTCTACTTATGTTACTTCTGTTAGCTATACTCCTAGTAATTGATTCCATCGAAATGGCCAAGGCTTTGAATCCACCTTCGAAACTATCTCATTCTTTTTGGTGGTTGTGATCGCTTAATATCTAAGCGCCGCTTAACCCTACGATTACCTTCGTCGCTATTTTTCCTGAAAGAGTACCAGTTACAAAGAAACGAATCGTATTCCTATTCATTAAGAGCAGCGGTTGCCTATCTGAAAATTTGGGAATTCTCTGACACGGTTTCTCAGGTTTCTAGAAAACTCCACACTTACTGTGATAATGTATCGGAATTCACACTCAATCCGAACTGCTTACCTCATTGAACGGTAGTTACAAAACAACGAAACTGGTAGATGAAATCGGCTACAATAAATGGGTGCAGTCCTTATAAGCATCTAAGCAACTAAACCGTTTAGATTACTTGACACTACTAAATCAGAGAATATTTGCTATTTCTCCTCTTTTTTTCTCGAGTTTAAAAGAAAAAAGTTTTATGAATTCGAAAACATTGTTGATTAGTATTTTCCAAATTCGAATAGGAACTTAAACAATCTGTGTTTTCTGAGTCCTATAGTATTTGTAGCAGAACTAGAGAAAGGAGGTGCACATAATAACTGTTGCTACAGCTTATTTGTACAATCAGTTCTAAAGTGGAAGCGTTCGTGTCATCTGCAGTGGCAGAAGCCCATCAGGAGTTTGATATTATAAAATGATGCATTTGAAGTATATGAAATTCTCGACGATGTGTTCTTAAAACGATATCAACCACTTTTTATCGTTTACTTAGAGCCGACAAGCTTTCACCTTTATTATCATTGATTTTCTACTGGCAGCAAAAGCTTCATCATGACATCACTTCTGTTGTCTTTGCTGGTCATTCAGTATCCCAATTCTTTCTTCGGAAGTTGCCCGGAAAAGAATAACATCGATCTGATGAGTTTCTCGTAGAGTATGATACTTCGTCTGAATCCTTTTTTTCAGAGCTTTTGGATCTTCCAGCCCTTATTTGCCTTCTACTTCTTTTACATTACAGATCTTCATTGGGATTAAGTTCTTTGGTGAAAGCATAAAAATGTTGCATTATCGAGACTTTTTTAAACCGTAATAGGAAGTATTTAGAAATTGCTCATCTTAGACAACTTTCTTGATGTCGCCGTTAAATTCGAATTAGTGAATTTTTTCTTATTAATGTGATATAAGCGCATCACTGTCGTTAATGCAAATATTCGAAAACTACTTATTACAAGCTTTTACATGGCTACTTCCTGTTCTGATAGTGTTCTTAAAAGCCTGTTTAATTTTTAAGCGCTTATGATGTCCAGAAGCGCACATTTCCTTCTCGTTACCTAATCGTAACTATAATGGAAAAGCACACGATTCAGCTTTTTTCTTAGCAGTGATGAGTTTTTTGGGCATTTATGTGTTCATTTTTCTATTAGCAATTGGATGTTTGCTTTGTCTGCTTTTGCTTCCGAATAACGAGCCCTTTCTACTTGGATTGAGTTGCTCGTGAATATTTGGTTTCTCATTACTCTAATTTGTAAGCCATACATCTCTAGATTCTCGTAATGTGAACGGCCTAAGGCGGGGCCAGGTGCGTAACATGTTAGTGCTTCAGTGTTAGTGTTAATGTTAATGCAAACACGAGGTGCTATTCCACTTCCACATTTGAGACGATCAGTTCGTTGTAAATCTCTCTTCGATATCTGTCCTACTTTTCGAAATCCTAAGTCTTTCGTAGGATTTGTTATTCGAGATATCTACTATGTTAGAGTTCATCAGTTGCAACGATTACTGTATACGATATGAAAAAACCATTATGCAATACAGTGTTTATCCTGGGTATTTTTCAGAGCATAAGAAAAGAACCGTAAACCCTGTAATTAAGGTTTACACAGAACTCAACTAAAAACTTAAACATAGCAGTTTTTCCTTGGCTTAACCATTCCTCTAATTCTCTCATATATTGTGGCTGACGTAAGGTGTACGATCCTTAAAAATTCCAAACTAAAAACTCATGATGCCTTTTTGCATATAAGGTTTTGCCTTGTGACTATGTTTCATTGGCTGGTCTTGCTATTACAGTTACCAATTTTGCGCCGTTTTTGCGTACCCTACGCGATCGGTCATTACTGTAGTTGCCAGTAGTGTAGAATATTACTGAAGTGTGGCGAGCAAAACCTCATTTTTTTTCCTATAAATTTCCATTTGACACAATTAGCATTTCATTTGTAATTACTTGCTTTGCATATAGAGTCCCTGACCTTTGAGGTTGAGGTTTTCAAACAATTCTCGTTTCTTTCCTGTTTTTAATGGTTTTCGTCTTCGAAAGTGTTCAAGAACCAAGGAGAAAGGAATGAAAAAGATGAGATGACCATGTAAAAGTTGTTAATTTAGTAATATTAGTGCTGATATTTATTATCCACACCGATGAATGCGCTATAACGGCTGAATGACTCGAATTTCTGAATACGATTAATGCATAGCTAAGGTCTATGAAAAGGAAGTGAGTAGAAAAACGGTTGAAGGTAAACTGAATGCACATATGCCTAACCCAGACCCAATCCCCTAACGAACAAACCCACTAAAGTATATGAACTTACCATGTCATCGCATGTGCCAGATACCTCTATCCGAGAATGAAAGGAAATTCGTTCGACTGAAGGGAAAAAGCTCCCACTCGCATCAACAACACGTCTACTTGCCTATTCTCATTTCATTCCAATTCTGAAAGGCATACTTCTGTTTTCGTCTAGGCATAATAGAACTTTTTGCTCTACGGTAGAAGCAGACAAGCCATTAGTTACTTAGCATTGTATTAATGTTTTTTGAATACAAGTATATTGATTCCGGTCACTTTCGTCGCAATGAGAAACGTTAGCGGAGTTCGAGTGAAATCATGGAAAATGAATTGGATCGTTTCTCAATAGAATTTTTATAATTATTATCTTTGAATATGCTAGAATTTCGAGTAGCTTTTAATTTGAGTGCTTGGAGAATTGGATGAAAAGTCGCCCTATACCTGCGTCTTTAGATATAGAGATACCCCATACTTCTCATATTTTATGAGTCTCAACATTTTGATTTGTTCTGTTGTTTAATAACTTTCAACTGCAGAAATGAAAAAGTTATGTTTGCTTTCGGTCGTAGCTGTAGAATCAGTTCTTCTTCTCTCGTTAGTAAGTCGCTAAATTCTTTTGATTTTATCTTGAATCTTGAAACAGCCACCTTAATGCGTTCCCAGGGACACACCACAGCTATTTTCTGGGTCCTGACGATGAAACAGAGGTCTGCTTATTATTAAATGAGGCCCTTCGAGTACTACAGCATTGCTGCGATTGGATGAACAACTCGAACAGGGGCAGTGTTAAAGGCTTAACGCAGAAGTTCTTATATAGTAGTTAAATGTGCTGTAGATTAGTTAGGATTGAAATTCGAACAAAGTAAAATAACCTTAGTTAATGTGCAAGCAATGTTATGTTCTAGTATGAATTTTTCCAAGCGGAAGACTAAGTTCGGTCACATATTATTTGAGAAGTTGAGCGATAGAAGAATGTTGGAAAAACTTTAAAGGATCTTATCCCTAGAAATGACTTTAGTATTGCGAGATAACTTGTTATCTCTCATTCAGAGTTGCTGCTGAAGATAACTAATTATTGCTAATGACTTGAGTCAAGTGTTGATTTTAGCCTGAAACTCTTCCTCTCTCTCTTTCTCTCTCCCACTTTCTTTCTTTCCCTCTTCCTCTCACTCTCTACCGAAGTAAATTGCTAGTCTAATGCAATGAATCAGTTTCCTTCATGAGTCGTTCGACGATACCATAATATTTTGCATATCGTCAAATCCGTTCCTGATAAATTGACTGTTATCCTGATTCATTATAGGATTCTAAGCTTTTCCAAAGTCAAGAGCAATGTTCCTGATTGCGAAAATCGTGCGAGGTCGACGACTTCTTCATGAACTTGAACAACGAGAGAAGAACCAAGCTGCTGCGGCAGCTCTAGAAGCTGCACAGTCAATCACCCAAGTACGAAACATTCCTTTTTAAAAAATCGTGTCCGATTTCGGAAATATTAAATATCGGTTATCGTAAAACATTCGTGCTTGAGTTTTTTTTTTGAGTTTTAGTGGTATCGTTATCGTGGTTGCCAGTCATCGTCTTCTTTTGAAGAATTGCCTACTTTTTATTCATTGTATCACTCTGCAGTACACTTCTTTCCTGTCCAGAAGAGCGAAACGCATCCGGATTCTCCTTCCTGTTCTTTACTAGTCTCATATCATCTTTACTAATAACGTTTGATTGCCTTAGACACCGTTTAAAACAAGTGAGAACAAAAATCTCATGTAGGCATCGGCATTCAGCATTCATATCCGTACAAAAAATCTTAGGCCTGATCAAATTTCATTCTATTTCCATATCTTCCACATTGGCGCTACCATTTTTGCGTAGAGTTTTATATAAAGGCCATTATTTTAGTTTTTTTTTCGTCAGTTGCGTTAGTTCGCTTTTATTTCTATGTTGCCGTATTTATGAGATGAAATAGAAGATCAGATTTGTGGTGATTTTAGGTTATTCGGAAATTAACGCAGGATTACGCTCCAGACTGGCCTTTTAAATTGGCATATTTGAGCTGAGAATAAACTTTACTAACTGAAATCAAAGCCATTAAATTTACTTATTTTTGCTAGTGAGGAACAAGTTTACATATTCGAATTGCTTAAAATTCCGGAGTTCTGGAGGCTACGAAGTTTCTAAATGCAGTATCGGCCTTCGCTTAGTTTCCAAAGCATTTCTCATATAGGAAATTGTTGAGATGCTCGACGAAGTTATAGTTATTGTGCAAGATTTGGCAAGTATGATGGATGAGAGAGAGTTCTGTATCCCAGCTCTTTCAACTTTTTCAGCGACGCTAGTGCGACTTGTGGCCGTGCGTTATCGTGGAGGATTGTTGTCCTTTAACTTGACCGGCGCGTACACAGCCGTTGAAGTTTGCGGTGAATTTCATCCATTTGCTGGGAGTACTTCCCGTCGGAATGGTTTCACCCGGATTCAAAAAGCTGTGATGGACCTAACCAGCTGGGACCATCAAACGAACAGCATAAGCTCCGTTCAATGTTGTTTCGACTTTGGAAAGAGCTACGGAGCTTCATCGTAGTCCAATCACTAAGCTGATTACCGCCAGTTATCATTATCACACTGGAGCTAATTCCTATCCCATATAACAATAACTTCGACAAATGGATCGTTCTGTTTGCTCAAAAGAAGTGCCGACGACACCTCAGAATGGCGATTTCCATGATTGTTATTAAATTCCTGCGTCATCTACTTTTCAAGCCCCCTCAACATTTCGATTTTCTTTAAACGCTCCGAAAAAGTTGAGATGTTTACACTATACTGAGTTCTTCTGTGAGCTCTTAAACAGTTATGGACGGTTTATTTGCTTCCACGAAAACCTTTAAGTTATCGTCATCACAAACAGACGTCTTCCATCTTCAAAGTCGAATTCTCCATTATCAAATTTTCCGAGCCAGCGTTGTACTGTGCGTTCGTTAAAACTTTCCTGGCCTTCTATCTCATTGTTGTTTCGAGCCATTTGGCTACACTAGATTTGAATTCGCAGTAGTAGATTTGTTGAAATTACTGTTTCGACTTCTGAGATTCTAATCTGAAGAATTTGTCAAAAGCACAATATATACTATACTGTATATATACTAATTAAATAGAGCTAAACTACGCAAAATAAGTTTGTATCAGTATGCAACAGCGCAACATTCGAAAAGGAAAAGTCATTGATAAAATTTATACAAGACGAATAAAATTACAAATCACAATGTTAACTTTTTATTCACTGCCTTTTTTACAAGTCTTCATGGCAGGGTTATTTCATGGTTATTTGTGAAACAACCATAATGATGCTGAGATATTTGCAAAACTCTGGACCACAAGCGTCTGCAATGGAGAACGAATACGCTATTACCCATTTCCAGAGGCTAACGCGCTCACCGCCACACCATGAGGGTCCTTCGTTTTGCGTGTCTTCCAGCTAATTTCCGCATAACGTGGAGGTGAACGCGTTAGCTCGTGGTAAGAGTAATAGCGCGTTCGTTCCACACCGCAGCCGGAGTTTTGCAAATCCGTCAAAATTACAAATCTTGCATTGATTTCAGAACGATCTAATAGATATGCAGTACAGTAACCGCAGAATATCACAGAGAAAAAACTACTAATCCGAAGTTTTTATGTGATTGCTCTTATTTCGTATTATACTGTTTAGTTACTAGACAAGTATTGTGAACTTATCCCCTAACAGAAAACTGTACTCCAAAAAAGAAAGGAAAAAGCAACTTCAATCAGTCTTCAGGTTTCACGTCGATTAGCTGCACGTCATCAGCATATGAGTGGTGATGTAGTTGAGAATGCCGATGAAGTAAAGACGAATCAGAAGACAGAGCGTCGGTAATCAAATAGATCGTCATTTATAAATGAAAAATCATATTCAAACTATTAACCTATTAGAAAAATTTGTCAAGAACTGAAATTGTCAACTGTAACGTCGGAGTAATCCAAGCATTCATTTACTTCGCTCTTAACGACGAAAATCATTCGACAATGCTGTTGAATATCCATGGGTAACCGAAATGATTGCGTTTTATCGCCGACTGTCCAATCACGATCAAGTAGTGTTAAGTATTTAAGTAAAGTCGAATCGCTTATATGATCGAGTTCATTAGATTTATCGATTAAATATAGAAATAGTGAGGTTTATTCAAATAAACTACACCAATACGGATTTTCTTAAGGAAAAGTGGACGTCAAAAAAGGCATGCATATGGTTCAGTTGATTTATCAGTGAACTCAAGTGATCGCTTATCAGTTCGAAGAACTAGCAGTATGCCAAGTTTATGCGATGGAGTTCCTCGTGAGCAACATCGTTATTTTCCTTACTTTTACAATATCTATACTATACGATATTACACATTTGTTCGTTTCCATGATACTTCTCACTTAACTTTACAGTAACGTTAAATTTATTTTCGCTTAGAATTCTATCACAGCTAATGAGAAATTCGGGAATCAAAACATATTTGGCCTATTTGGTTGTCAAACTCGACCAGCGTGAGAAATTCAGTTGATCACAATTTTTCCATGACCATAGTGAAAACAGGGGTTTTTTTTTTAAATGTCTAATATGTAGTTTAACTACCAGTAAGCTAGATCACACATCCATATAAATAAAGGATAAGGCTCTCGGCATTGATCAATCCCTGAGGGATGCACCATACATTCTACTTCATTAAGCATCGTTTGGAGGTGATTGAATGCATATCTGGCCTTTACAATGACTCGCGGTGACTTACCGATGTAGCGAACCAGTGCTGCTATCCTTCCAGACAAGTCTGGTACCAATTTGACGATCCCGGATGGATGGAAGGCTTGGTGGGCCATGGGCGCAGGGATCAATTCCACATGTGTGTTGCAGGGCGCCTCCGGCCACTGTGCCACATGCGCCTTCTGCATCCATATGCATACGGTTTGTGCCCTCATCATTACACACAACTTCGGAAAAATGCCGGATGATCTGTAGTCAGGAATTCGTGGAAAAGCGACCAAATTGCGTTACGTCACTAAAAAACAATGTTTATTTAACAAAGCAGTCAAAAAAAAGTTGAAGGATCACACATTGTATAAAGAAACGAGCATATTTTTTGTATCTGAATAGGTGGAAGTGGATGATCTCTTCAATTCCTGAATCCATGAAGTAAAAAGGTCAACATGACAGAAACAGAGCGATTTACACCTCACTAGTGTTTTACTCGTAAACAATTCTAACTCACCTATCATTAATGCTACGATCGCTCTAACAAAGTGTAGGTTTGAGTCAACGAATTTCAAATGTCGTAGTTAATCTGACTTAACATTAATAATTTACCTTCGACTAAATTATTACCTTTGAAAAATGTCCTTAACTAAGTACTACATACATTTCATGAAGGAAAACGACAGGGTTCCCATTGAACCTGTAGAATACTTACACTTACACATACTTACTAGAATACTTACATTATAAAATAAGTATAACTTCTAGAAAAAAAGCAGCAGTCAGTTGTCGTTGGACGGTATCTTTAGGAGTATCTAGTTACATTACTTGTTATAGAAGAAAAATTACGGAGTCTTCAGGACCGGTGGGCAGCACTTTGAAACACTACAATTATGACGATAAATTGAACAGACTGCAACGACGTGCTCTACGATTCACATGGCATCGTCTTCATACGAGAAACGGTGGAAAGCGAGTAGAAAACGTCTTCGAGGAGGTCCCTTTGAATTTCAATCGTTTCTCTTTATCTCTTCTATACTAGTTTTTCATATCTTTTTCATGTTTATTTATCTTAAGCAGGTGGTTACTTTGTGAGGTTTAAGGTGTATGACCGTCTCGTTAGAGTGCTACCATCAGTAAAGGATATATTCACTACACGAATGTTTCTATGTGCTATGTCACGAAATGACACCGCATCATTGAGAGATCATGCCAGGGTGAGTGTATAGATCCCTAAGTTTCAGTACTGTAATTCTTTCTACTTCTGTTCAGCAAACACGAGGTGCTATTTTATTTCTTTATTTACGTACAAGCTGACGTTTCGGCGGATTTCGCCTTCCTCACAGCCGCTTTCTACGGGTCTTCCAGTACTGTAACTTATGAAATTGCGATTCGTTTGAACCAACTCACCCAAACTCACCATAGCATAACTTCGATGATGCTGAGATATTTGCAAAACTCCGGACCGCAGGTGTCTGCGGTGGGGAACGAACGCATTATTGTCCTTTCCGGGGAGTAACGCGTTCACCATCACACCATGCGGGTCTGATGGCAGGCATGATGGCAATGATCGATAAAACATAGTATGTCATAAGTTAGAAATAGGTTAAGAAAGAATATTTTGGTTAAGAAATCCCAAATGGTAAAAGAAATGTCCACATTCCCAGTTATCAAGAACCCAGCGGTCAAGCATAGTAAAGAATGTGCTCTGTTACTGAACCAACTGATCGTTACAGCAAACTAAACATCTCAACGAGTAATATCATAACTACAAATTTGTCTTCAAGTTGGGAATAAAGTTTTCATGTCCGTAGTAAGTAGATGTACTAATGATACAACTCTTATTTGGCGATGACTGACGTTTTGACAGATTATGTCAGCTTCAGAGCTCTGAAAGAGTCATTTTGACATATATTCAGCACGATTAATTATAACACTTTCGAAAGCTAGTGACGATACGATCTTGTATATGAATTTCAATTCAGACTAAAGTGTATGCTTGTGGGTTCGTATAGCGCAGAGCTCAGAGATGCCGTACGGTACAGACGTGGTCTTTAGTTCGGTTGACGGTCTACCTATAGTTTACCCAAGCTACTTATCCACATCCTTTACGTGGTTGAAAATTGCTGACAGAAATGTTTGGGAGGATAAAAACGCTAAATTCATAGATGAGTAAGCCCGTAAAAGTGACTGTATAGACCAAAAAGATACACTCAACCGCCGCTGTGACGCCATGAATGGGTCCGAATGCTTGGTACATTCCTCAAAAATTAATCAACGTCAAACTCGTTGTTCTTTTATTAGTCTCTTACAGGTCACTGTGAAAATGTTCGACTTAGCTCTGAAAAGTATAGACGTTGAGAATTCTAAACGTGAAGATACGGGATCTCCTCTTGATCCAAGGATTATAGGTATAGTAACGTTAAACTTTTTCATAGCACTAGTGATTAAAATAATTACAAAGTTTATGTAAATATCATAGGCCGATCACATGGTCTACTTCGCCCATATGGTCTTACTGGTCAGCATTGGGAAAAGTTGGGAGAGATAATTATCGATGTTGTATTAGCCCAGGAAGCTGTTCGAGATCTGCCAGGAGCTGGACAGGCATGGGTGATCTTCACAGCATGCCTAGTGGATCAGGTAATATAAATCTTAACAATAAACACTTGTTGCAATTCTTTCGCTTCTGTTTTCGCAATTTCCTTACGACGTTTTTCTAAATTTCGATTACAGTTGCGAGCTGGATTTGATGAATGCCGTGGAGCAAATCAGGGGCTCACCAAACGTGACGCTGTGCTCTACCATGCTACAAAACATCTATATGACTTGGTAAGTGTTAAGATAAAATTAACATGTGAATTCTAAACTTTAGAGCAATTTTAATTCGTAATTATTATATTATTATGCTAGTGTGATGATTCTAACCGCCGTATGAAAACATTCTAAGTCAACTCTTAAGAAACTACCACAAATTTCTCGATAAGTTACGGAGAAGTTTTTTTTCCTTCAAATTGTAGACCGGGATATTTAACCAGCATTGCATAGTTCCTCCTAAGAAGTAACTCCTAAGAAGGTTAATAGCATCAAAGCATAGTGCATTAAGTGCAAACCCTGCATGATCGTTGGTTCTGGCTAAAATAAACAATTCTTGCAACTTCCACGGATTGGCCAGATTGATGATTATGGAAGGCATGTGCAAAGCATGTATTTTATCTATTTTGTGTTCTAAATAGTTCATTGTGAAAGCTAAATCGAATTTCTGTGCGTTAATGGGTTCACAGATGACACAAGAATGCAAGAAATAAAAACATGTTTCTTTGAAATTGATAAACTACGTCCTTAATATTTACTATACAGATTTAATTTATTTTTTAACCTTAGCTAACTAATTACGCAGCAATTAAAGTTCTGCCGTAATTCTATATTCCTTCAATTTTGCCCTTCTGAGTCATACAGAAAGAAATCCTCGTAAAATATCACACGATAACCATGTATTAGAGTAGAAACAAAGTTTTGTCACAAGAATTCAAAAATGTTAATTTTCTTCGTCCAAACTATTCCACGGCATAGCTGAGCGAGTCAATACTTAGTTCCATTATACTTGGATACTTGAATGGCCCATCTTCATTGGTTGTCCGGTCCCCATCAGAGCCTCTATTTTCTCAGAGTTTTGCTGGCTTAGCTACTGTAGTTCCCTGAAGTCCCGAGGTCAGCATAGTCAAAGTACGCCCCGTTACCACCACAAGCAGTCGCCGCCCTTGCGGATCAGAGGGAGATTTGCCACCACGCGATCAGTCTGATACCAGTACGGTGGTGGACCCTAGTATTGGTTTACTCTTAGCTAAGCTTCCTGATGGAAACGCTGGACTCCTCAGCTTGGGTGACTCTGCCAGGGGATGAATCACCCGCTGTACATCGTAGTCCGACACCCAGGAACCCCTCCTAGCCAAGATGGGGCGGTAAACCGTTGGGAGGAGTTCCGCAGTGAAGTTATCAGTATTTGCTGCTCATTCCAAATGCTAATGAATGAGCTTCCGTACACACTGTCATCGCTTCTCGATGCATTTCTGCTTCAAATCTGGCTACTTCCGAGACAGATCTTCGCGTTTTTAAAGCATATGGACCGAGTGTCGTTGTTAGAATCATGGTTTAGCCAGCCGGACACAGCGAGTGAGGGACCGTTACCCCAGACCAACCCTGCTTTTGCAATCAAGTTTAGTTGAACTCTGATCTGGTTTACCACTCCTTAATCAAGGATTCCTGTCTAAGCATATGTCTACTGGAAGTTAGGCATTTGCCATCCTATACCAGCAGCAAACACACGCTCCATCCACTCGACAAAATTAAGAACCCTCGATGAACCTCTAGCTCCACGTTTAGCAGAAAAAGTGTCGCAATATTTGCGCTGACATTAGTGCATTTCCCCATTTATTTTGTTATATTATCCCTCTCGGAGAGCGTGTGGTGCAAGGTCGGAGGCGCCCTGCAATACACATAGGATCGATTCCCACGCCCCAAGCTTACCAAGCCCTCCTGGGTCGGCGAATTGGTACCAGACTTGTCCGGGTGGATAGCAGCACTGGCTCGCTATATCGGTAAGCCACCACGAGTAATTTTAAAGGTCACATATGCATTTAATCACCTTTAAACGAGCTCAATGAAGTGGAATGCATGATGCATTCCTAAGTTGATCAACACCGAGAGCTTTATCCTTTTTGTTATCCTTCTTCTTATTTCTTTGCACTTGCCAAACCCCATAGTCGCACCAGTGACCATGTCTGTATTGCCCAGTATCTCTGTCCACTGTGCATCCAGCGTCCTAATTCGGTCACATAAGAGAAACAAGTCGTGGCTGAAGCTCGCAATTATCGACGCGAGAAGTCAACATCCTTCAAACGGTTTACCGCTTCACCTTGGCTGAGATGGGTTCCTGGGTGTCGGACTACGATGTGCAGCGAGGTGTTCATCCTCCCAGCAGAGACTCCCAAGCTGAGAAGAAGTCCGACGTTTTCATACGGAAGCCAAACTAAGAGTAAACAAATACCAGCATAAACCACTGTCCTGCTATCAAACTAGTCGCATGGTGGCAAACCTCCTTCTGATCCGAGAATGGCGACTGTCTGGTGCGATGATGACCTGAGAAACGCTTCGGCTAGGCTGACCTCGGGACACCAGACTACCACAGTGGCTAAGCCAGCAAAACTCCGAAAGGATGGAAACTATGCTGTAGCCCATGCGTCCCGTAAAAACGAGCCATCCAAGTGTTCAAGTAAGAAGTCGGTATCGTATTTCAGTTTCACTCAAACGCTTCTGTGTATGGATCCGGTGTAGGGTAAACTATGCTACACATTGATGCGTTCTTAAATAGTTAAGCCTACAATGTAGAAAATGTCATCTAACTCGTGAATACCATTTGATCTTGGCTCGACGCATCTACCAAAACACCCACAATTTGACCCATTTGTATTACCACATGCTAAGAAGCAGCAACATCTTATCATCCAACCTACTGAGATAGTTAGATGACCCATCTTCATATGTTGTACTGATGCCAGAACTTCTTCCATACGTCTTGGTTTCTTGTAACCTTAATCCAAGAAGTCCAGGTGTGTAATCGGCTACAACTAGAAAATTTTCGGACTTCTCTCCTCGTTTACATTCCGGATGCAGCCCAAGCATGATTTCTCCTGGGAACTGAGAGAGCTATGTTTCATGGATCGACAGAAGTTTATCGCCTTACAACTTCAATTTTTCCTGAACCACTGCGCTGTGACGGAAGCGAGTCTTGCGACTTGTCGACCGACTGCTCAAAGACGACGTTATAAGCCTTATCATGGAATCGGATAATGAAAACAGATTCGACCAGTTTTTTAAGTTAAAGCCCCACCTCTATATTGACGTCTGATCGATGGCCAATACCTGGATGATCGAAAGTAGTTTGATTCGGAATAAACAATGTTTTTTCTAGCTTCATGTGATTATGTAATTAATAGAGCTTATTCGTCAGCTTATACGGATTAGGTAGGAACTTGTATTTCATCTCCATCTTGTAAAATTGCTATAACTATTCCCATAATAGCCGAACACTTTATTAAATTTTAACAAATTTAGCAATACGCACTATCTACCGATAAACTCTAATTTACTGAAGGAACAACTGGAATCGGAGAAGCAAAACACGACCGATACAACATTACTGTCATCAACAGCTCCACCAACAAGCAATGATGACAGCATGAAACCAGAAACGATGACATCCCAGCAATCTAGTGTGGATATGTCAGTCACGTACAATAATCACTGTCGAAGAAATGTCCAACAAATAAAAAGAAAAACCAGCAAGGTAATGTTTAACGACATGATGTCTTTTGTGTCTAATGAAGTATCTCATGCAGTAGGATTAGGGTAGTAACGAAATAAAGCTATTCATTTTTCCCTCGAAATAAGCGAGGATCTTAATCGTTGGAGATTTTCTCAACAAGTCCTAAATAATCTCGTTACGCCATCCATTACACTCATCGCACCCGAAAGAATATGTAGGCGTCCCTGAAGAAAGTAAAAAGAAAAAAAGAAGAACTAATTCGCAATTCTTACGCGTTTACTTTTAGGTTTGTTCAAGAAATGAGAACAATGAGGTTAATGAATTTGACGTGACCACTACACCACCGTCAGAACAAACAAACAGTCGAAGACGACAATCAAATCTCGAAACACCAACATCAACAACATGTATGAATAGAAATTCATAAATACCACTTCTTTATAGAATCACTATCGTATATGTTTGAATTTACTAGCAATCATCAGAGCTCCTATATTATAGCTATAAAATCTTATCTGGACATATTCTCTGTCCAGACAAATGACCAATTACTCAGTTTTATGTCATCAATTATGGGTATCGCTATTCCTAACCAATCCTATATCATTGTCCTTAAAATGGTGTTCTTGACATTCGTTTTTTTAATTCCTCGTAAACCTATGCGTATAAATTGAGTTTATTCAATTGTATTAATAGATTTCACTTAAATGCAATACTAAGCCACCAATATCAGCGTTTACCTCAAAGTCAAGTGATAGAATCATTTTATTAAGAGCGTATGTACTAATATAATAACCTTTTCGTAATGAACAGAACTAGAGAAAAATCCATTAGAAATACACAGTTCAAAACTGTGAGCACGCTAAATTTTCTTTGAACAAGGTAACAACACATTCCGTGTGGTTTCTTTCTTTCTTTTATCAACAGCAAATTCCACGTCTCAATGACGAGTATTTCAACTAGCGAGGGATAAATGCCTCTTCACAAAACGGTCATCAGTGTATCTGAAGAAACTCATCAGCAATAAAGCGTTTGGATTCTTCGTTTTTTTTTCTCTACATTTAAGTTCTTCTTTTATTCATAGTTACAAAAATAGCACCGTTCAAACAGTCCTTTAACCTAACTACTAAACTTCTATATCGCAATACTCCCAAAAAGTGGGAATTATACTGAACTCGGTAAAACCAGTGAAGATGGGCGAAGATGGACCGTCCAAGTGTCTAAGTGTATCCCAAGAGAGTTACACAGCAAATTCTGCCAACTCATGTAAATCTACTATCGAATAGGAAGCTCTCTTAACATTACTCAACACTTACAGTAACCGCATTACGAAAATAAATAGTTGGTAAGCAGTACTATGAGGAACATTACGCATTTCCAACCCGCGTTTCTACAGCGTTATCATGCTCTATAAGGATAACGATAGAGATAAGGATCGTTACAATTTTGTAAGAAAGAAATGCACGCAGAGTTAAACCCACTTCTTGCAAATGAAAGCGTTTCTGTACTTTTCTGGTGTGAAAAAACAAAGATATCGTTCTAAAAACCCACACTATTAGAAATCGTCAACCGAAATAAACTGTACGAGACACCTTGAAACAGACAAAGAATGGATATTGAATGTATTCAATCGAAGCAAAAAACGATGCCATGCCCAAGTTTATAAGAACGCGAGATAAACATCTCTATCGAAAGCATTCACAGGACTGAAAATCTAACATGCGGTTAGTTATTCTACATATCCAATGAGAAAAATTCTATTTCCTAAAATCTACAACAGACAAACACTGATGATCTGTTTATATCACTCTAAGTAAACCCTTAAAAGCAAAGAAAGTTCACAATGTGCTATCATTACGTATTCAACATTTCGATAAACAAGTAGTGAATGAACGGAAGTCATGCGTCTTTGCTGTTATATTAATAATTAAAGAACAGCTATGTCTAGTCATAATCTTAAATAAAACGAATTCAACATTTAAGTTAACAGTTAGTAAATGAACAGAAGACAGAAGTCTACTGCTATAATATTAATTAACCAGCAGCTATGTTAAATCTTAGTCTTAAACTAAATCTATTCAATCTTTAAATAAACAGTTAGTGAAAGAAAAAACAAAAATCACGAGTTACCGTTAGAATGCTGACTAAAGAACGTATCACATCTAAAGAACAAATATATCACATCCTAAACCAAATCAATTCAACAATCGAGTAAACAGTTAGTAAATGAACAGGAGTCATGCGTCTTTACTGTTAGTATATTAAATAAAGAACAAATACCAAATCTTGGTCCTAAATAAACTCTAAAAGTTAGTTGGATCACAGGTAGTTCCGTTAGGAAAGTAACAATGATATATTATTTCAATGAAGTATAACCGTGGAGGAAAAAGCACAAACAAAGGTGAATACTAAACTACTAAAACAAAAATGAATTAGATGTGCATCGAGAAGAATGATGAGGAGGATTAACGAGAATGAAAGAATTTATAAGAGAAAGGAAACAAAAAAAACAAACAATCATTAGTTCATTAATCATTTGAGAAGTGCCGAAACTACCGCTCCTATGTTGAGATTGCGAAGATCGGGATATGTTTGACCACAACCAACAAAGACAATTGGCTGACCGGTTATGTACGCCATGGATACAGCAGCACCAACCTGCGAAATGGTATCAATGAACGTAAAAACTAGAAACTTACTGGGAGCGAATGTAGAGAAGAGATACCTTGTCATCGATAGTGTCAAATTTTGTCAAAACTATGCCATCTATTAAACGAGGAGTTGCTCCAGGAGTAGCATTATCAGCAAGAGCCTTCAATTACACATATCGACAATAAGAAAAGAATGAGCTAAATTCCATAAGTTTCCGTTAACCTACCTAACCTACTTACCTAGAGCAGATACAATAGTAGAGTATACCTCACCTGGTTAAATTTCACGAGTTGATCAACTGCTTCGTTACCGACCAAAGCTTCTCCGACAAATAAAACCAAGTCAGGTTCATTGACTCTTATGATCTGAAATGCACATGTGACGTGACCGAACGATTGAAAAAATAAATGACAGCTTACTTTTGCTAATTCCCTCATCAAAGGTTCATTATCTTGCATACGTCCAGCAGTATCGACAAGTACTACGTCGATCCCACGCTCTGCAGCTATTCCAATCGCAGCAGCAGCTAAGCTGGCAGAATCTTTTCCGTATCCTTGTTCAAACAGCTGCATATAAAATGATCGCGAGAACGTAAGACCACACAAACCAAATAAAATAAAGGTGAGTTGATCGCAAATATTATTCGGATAAAGTACCTGCTAACGGTTTACCGCCTCATCGTGGCTGGGAGTTGTTTCTGTGTATTGTACTGCGATGGGGATTCATTCTCCCGGCAGGGTTTCTCAAGCTGAGGAGTTCGACGTTTCCACCAGTAAGCCCAGCTAAGAGTAAACCAATACCAGGATGCACCACCGTCTTGACATCAAACTAGTCGCATGATGGCAAATCTCCTTCTGAACCACACGTGCGGCAACTGTTCTGTGGTGGTGACGATCTGGGGCAGACTTTGGTCTGGCTGGCCTCGGGACTCTAAGGAACCACAATGGCTACACCAGAAAACTCCAACAAAATGAAGATTATGCTGAGACCGACACAACCAATGAGGACGGGCCATCCAAGAATCCAAGTATTCAGGTAAATTGAGCTAATGTTATAGATGAGTTCAAAGATATGTTATGGTGGAGTGCAATTCATTATTTTGCACAGTAAAAAAAACATTGGAATCTACTAATTAAAAACATAGAACACATTGATAAGAAAGAGAGCCTAATACTGGCTAGCACATACCTGCACCGAGTTCGGATGAAGAGCGTTGAGATGCTTTGTGTGAGTCCGCAACTGTTCTACAGCTCCTGCGCGAAATGTGTCACCAGCAACTATCAAAACTCGGTGATCGTTCTCGTTTAACCAAAACGTCACCTAAGAAAACAAAAATCAAGAAACAATTCCATTCTCGGAAAAGAAAAAAGAGATATGAAAACCTTAGCCAGGTTAGTGCTTTTCCCAACACCGTTGACGCCACAGAAAACTATAACATATGGGCGACCTTCGCGCTTCGCTTCAACTATGTCACGGAGAATATCCACACGACGCTTAGGAGTAAGCAACTGGAATAGTGGAACAGAATAGCACAGTATGCGGAAAACATTTATTGCTAATCAAAGTATAAGAAAGACCACAGCACTACCACTGTATAATAATAAAAGTTAAGACGTAAACATGTTAAACCTGAATGAGGGATTCCCTGACAGCTTCCTTTACTTCGGTGCTGATGCGGCTGAATGTACTTACAACTTTGCCTTCCAGTTTACGGCCTATTGATTGGCAGATCTTGTCTGCTGGCTCGGCAGCCACGTTTTTCACTTAAATATATGGATAAAGATCTCATTTGTAAGAAGTAGCCAAATTAACTTACAAATAAGATTCTCCCTCATTTTGTCCAGTACGGGTTCAACGTCTTCAGCGGTAATCTTCCTATTACCCACTAAATTCTTGAATGCACCAAACCAACCACTGCTCTTTGTTGCAACAATTCTTAAAGAACGGAATTTTTGATTCTCAATCCGAATTCGGGACGAAATTATCTAAAAGGATGGATGAGAGCAAGTACGCACGCCAGATTTTCAATGTGAAGTATTACATTCACACATGAACCTCTAAGAACACTTAAAACGTAAGTTTAACGATTTGTTTTCTGCCTTCTATAATTTTCATGGCAGGTTACTAAGCGAAATACAACCACAACGTTGCTGAGATATTTGCAAAACTCTGGACCGCAGGTGTCTATGGTGGGGAACGAGCGTGCTATTATCCTTTCCGGGGAGTAACGCGTTCACCACCACACCATGCGGGTCCTTTGTTTCGCACGTCTCTTAGACGTTGTGGTTGTAAAACGTAAGTGTTTAACAGCCTGTTTCATTGATTTAACTAGATGAGACCAATGAAAGAACGAACTTTCCTAAACGACAATTAAAAAAAGTCCATAACATACTCTTCGTCCTCATCGCATTCTTCATCAGAAAATCCCTGCAACTGTGCCGAACGTCCAACAAACTTGCGCTGAAACCGAAATGTTTAGTAACTCACAATGTTAACTTTTTGATCTACTGCATACTACTATTTTTCACGGCAGGGTATTGTAGGTGCTACAAGCACAATAATGATGAGATATTGCAAAACTCTGGACGGCAGGTGTATGTCGTACGAACGAAGGAGCCGCATGGTGTGGTGGCGAACGAGTTAGCCCGCGGTAAAGGTAATAGCGCACTCGCTCCATACCGCAGACACCCACGGTCGAGAATTTTGCAAATATCTCACCATGATTGTAGTTGTTTAGCAACTATTAAAAGAGCAGAAAACACAAGCTGAAAGCAATACCATATCATAAAATAAATTTCCTGGAGACGAAGCAAAGTAAGTGAAACAAACTAACCTGCTCACATACGAATGCGAGGTCTTCACAGTCATGAATATCATCTTGCGTCTAAATTATCAATCCCTACATTGAAAATGAATAAATCCCAACTCGAAATAACATAAAATGAAACGAAACCTTCTCCTTATCGCCGGAATAGTCGAGATTTGCAACACCTTTCACGTCTCCAGACAACTCCCACACACGAGCTTGCTTGCCTTTCTTCTTTGTGTCTGCTTCTGTAGTCCTACAAATATAATAGTCGGAATAATAAACTACGACATTGATGACGTCTGCCTTCCAAACTTAAACGATGACCTAGTGACTTCACCGACATAAAAACCATCACAAATCTAACCACTTGACCAACGCTGGCAAAATCGTGTAAGCCTGATATGAACTACCAAATATGGTTGTCAATGCATTAATTGCAGTATGTCAAAATAAAGACGTAGAGCGTGTTGCGTAGTGTTCGGAGGTGCTCTACAATACGCATGAGATCGCTCCCCGCGCTCAAGCTCACCAAGCCTTCCATCCCCGCGGTCGGCAAATTGGTACCAGACTTGTCTGGGAGGATAGCAGCACTGGCTCAATACAACGGGAGGCCACCGCGGGTCACTATAAAGGTTAGATATGCATGCAATCTCCTTCAACGATGCTTAATGAAGTCGAATGCATGGCGCATCCCTCTGGGATAGATCAACGCCAATAGCTTTACCCTTTTTTATGTCAAAACAAAATTAAAACCACATCAAAAAAAGTCTTCGCGAACAATAAGAACAATCTACAACTAGAATAACAGTCTCATCGGATTCCTAGGAAAGCAAACACACTTCACCGGTGACTTCTTCGTATTTATCTTCCGCATCAGGATTTCTTTACGCTTAGAAATTTGGTCCATCGGCGACTCCGGCATGGAGCCCACGTCGCTACTCGAATCCGTTGAACTGCTGCAGTTTGTGAAAATAATATTCTAGAAACGTATATACAAACTGTTGATAGGATAATAACATACACGATGGCTTCATCCAAAGCAGCCCTTCTCGAATGACTTTCCGTTTTCTTCACTTTCTTTTTCTCTCCTGGACGGCTAATAATGATCGACTCAATGGTCTTCTGCGATTTTACACTCTCCTACAAAATACACGCTGTACCTCTAAACAAATAGAAAGTAATGAAGTCAAAAATGAGATATAAAAAATAAAAAACGAAAAGAAAGATCAAACCTAAATAAAGAAGTAAAGTGTAATGAAAACAAACTTGAAATGATCTGGGCTTTTTATGTACACCTGCGGATTTGACGTCCAACTTAAATAATTCATTGCGAATCCTAAAATTCACAAAAAAAAGTTGTTGATGCAAACATATTCAATGTTTGTTTCAATGGGGCCTAGGGGCCTGAGCACAAATAGGCAACAGCGAATGTGAATTCAAACCAAAAAGAAAATAAATGATCCTGTTTACTAATTGAATCGTATACCCACTGAATTTCACTAAGAGCCATAGATCTGTCTCAACGTACAGTAGCACCTACAATCTGACTTCGTTCCTCAAGCTCCTATTCTCTTTGCTAGTTAAAGGTTTACTTTAACATTGTCTAGAACTGCTCTCAGAGAAAATCTAGGAACTGTGGAAAGAATCCGAACTCTTTCAAATCCAAACAAAACAAAAATGAATGCCTACCTCATCAATATTTCATAGTACGAGTTTTCATGATGAAAATAAAGCAGAAAAACCACCAAATTTCAAGATAAATCACCAACGAACCTTAAAAATTCGGAATCAAAATGGCGAAATGTTTCTTTTCCATAATGATATAATATCTGGAAAGCAGATTTGAATCATACTATAGAATCATGTACAACTAAACCTAGGCCAAACGAACAAGACTGAGAGAAACATACCTGTTTGTTGAGAAGCACATTCTTATACATGTCGCGGAATTTTTGATGCACATCAGATAACAATTTATCCGTATAAGATAATTGTATAGCTGACTGGTAAATAACCTGAAAAGCAATAAAAAGGATAAAACTCCTGGCGTTGACCAATGCCTGATGGATGCGCGCCATGCACACGAATTCATTAAGCACCGTTGGAGGTAAGTGAATGCATATCTAGCCTTTATAATGACTCGCGGTGGCCTATAGGTGTATCGAGCCAGCACTGCTATCCTCCCAGATCGCCAAAAAGTTAAAAAAGTAGTCAAAAGTAATGTAATGGCAAAAACATTATAACAGATCAGTGACTATTGAAGGGCCATAGCATTTGTCAAAGAAATCCACAGGAATACCTACCACGAATACCAAATCGAACTCATTGTCAAGTTTAAAACGGACTGTGACGTCATTGCACTTGTACTGCGTTATAGCACGCTCCTAAACAAAGACGCTGTATTGATTGTAAAAAAAAACAGGCTAACCATAGTCACACCTGAATGAGCACATCTTTGACGAACGCATTGATCGTGTCCACAAAGCAGCCAGCTCCTTCCTAAAAACAGAAAAAAGCCGAAAAATAACTGAGCACAGTTATATCGAAAAAAAAGACACATACTCGTAAGAATTCGAAACAAAATGAAAAAGGAAATGAACCTGAAAAGTCCATAATCCGAAGCCTCCTTTCGTAAAGATGGCAAAGAGTTCGATCATACGCAATCTTGAAAGTGTTGTAAGAGTTATTATGCAAACATCACAAATCACATAGCACATATAACACGATTCAATTCGTCGGAAATCCAGAAAGTTTCATGGAAAACCAGAAATTTGGAAGATTTGAAAGACGCCAATATGACTGATACAAGTCGTGAAAGATGTGACACGCGTCGTCAATCATTCACACGCACATTTGCGGACATATCCACACACACATTTGCGACATATCGTGTCACGGGCTAGACCTCCACCACTCCGCCTCACTGGAGTAAATGTCTTTAGGTCGATTTAGGAACTAAGTGGACAGGACAGTTTTATCTTAATTTTTGTTTTCCTTCATGTACAAATGCCCTTGAAGTTATTACCTAACGTTCAACCCATCAGAGCCGAAACTGGCCGATTTTCTGTCATTTTATTCGACATCCTCTTTCTCACTATTTCACAACTTGCTTCTATGTGTGATTTGCAATGTAGATTGAGAAGACGACGAAAATTTGCAAAAAAAATTGGTAATGAATTCTCAGATTTTACAAAATCCGGCTAAATTGTTCACAATCTAATTAAACTCCACTCTTAGCCCCGTGAAAGATGAATTACTAGTTCGTACTACTTGTACCATATCCTCATTCTTAAGAGAAAACAGTTTTCTGCAAAGTTATGGTGATAGAAAGTCTGGTTACGAATTCTTCCATCGCAAAAATTTCATGAGATGAACACCTAAGTAGTGAAAAGCTACTGAGAATAATGGATTCTGATGTTCATCTGCTACCCGACTGAATATATTCAGCAACGATGTGTAGCCGACAATACGATAGAGAATTTAGAACGATCATGAAGTGAAAAGGCTGCGTATAGCGCAGTGGGTTAGCGGTACTGCGCAATACGCACGCGTTATCGGTGGTTCGATCGTTCGATGCCGCGCCCGAGTTCATTGACCTCACCATCTCTCTCCGGGGTCGACAAATCGGTACCAAAGTTGCCTGCGAGGATAGCAGAGCTGACTTCGTACATCGATAGGCCTTCACAACTCATTGTATAGACCAGAAAAGGATTCAGTTACCTCTAATAATGATGTCTTATCTATGACGCATCCCTCAGGGTTTGGTCAATCCCAAGAGCTTTATGATTTACCTCTTTACGAACTGAATCCAAGTTAAAGCGTCCACATTCCTTCAATCATCGGCCACAGTTGAAATCGACAACTTCGTAGCGATATAATGATGATTGGTAAGGATTCCATTTCAGTCCTTCATATACTTTTGTTTGTGCGTCTACCGCTAAGTCTATCATTATTCTTCATTTACATATATTATTACCCTCGTTTCGATCCCATTAAACATGTAGCTGGACGGTTTCGGCTTCTACTTATCTAATGAGCCCCAGAAGTTTAGTGATATTTACCTTGTGAAACCAGTTCTGTTTGTAAAGGTCACAGAAATTTCATCCTACTTGAATTTTAGTGCATTACTCTAGTGTCATCAACGTCACTTACTGCCATCACCAAGGTCACGTGAAAGAGTGGAAGTACATGTTCTGATGAAAATTTGTTTTAGTATCGACAAAGTCATAAAACGGAGACAGAGGTCGACCCCACTCTTCATGTCTACTGAGCTTTAATCACCAGAGATTCCTTTACATCAAAGCACACAGCAATTCATCTCATCTGCCGGTGCAAAATGGGAATTTCAGATTTTCTGAGGACATATCTCAATTTTGACATTTGAAACTTACAGCATTTTGATGTTCTTATGGCATTAAAGTCGTCGAACCAACGTCCCACCACGCCGCTGTCCAGTTTGTTTTCGTACCCACGCCACTTCTGATCCCATTCGGAAGTGATGTGATTTTAAATAACTTCTCTACGAAACGATTTTGAGCAAACTGCCCTATTCATAGGAATTTGTAGTCGTCTCTATCGTCGCAATTTAGTGTAATTGTCACGGAATTCGTAATGTTTTTCCGGAGAATGTTCGTGAACAGATGTTTACCTCGCTGCAAGTCAGTCCGGTTTTATATCGATCGGACGCTAGCGCCTCTTAAATAATGTGAACGAGAACTTTTTCTATTTTTCACTTCCTCATTTCTGTTCCACATCATCGTGAGTTATCGACAAGAGTAGTCTTCATTTAATGTGCTTAACTTCAGTAAAGACAGAGCTTGCTCTAAAAATCCATAGACCCTGATATGTCTCTAGATGTGGAATTCGTTCCGAAACTTCTATCTACAGTAGGTTGAACGTCACATGCTGCCACC